TACGAGGAGAAAATTAAAGAGGCCTGCCTGACGAGGTGTGGATGATAAATCCAAGGCGCCTTAAATAAAGCCCATGATTGGGACGCCTCCTCCTCCTCGTCGTCGTCTCTCTCTCTTCCTCTCATTTCAGAGAGGCGGCCGAGTCATTCGCCAGGCTTTGTGCCTCTTCGCTGGTGGTCTGGGCCGGGCCTAGAGAGGCCTGGACGAGGGCCTACACTACGGCCCCACCCGCCCGGCTTGTGATCGAAAATACGGGAGAGGTGGGTAGGGCAGAGGGAGCGAGGCAGGGCGACTTGTCCTTGCGGCGGGGAAGACTTATTCCTCGGGCTTCAGCAGCAGGCAGCCGGCTGCAGCAGTATTTGGGAAAAGGGTTATAACACGGCACGTAACATAAAGGTATTTCTGCTCGCCGTGCGGGGCCCCCGCTGCTGCTGCTGGGGCTCCTCGGCGGAAACAGGCATTCCTCCGGCGATCGACGAGGGCCCCGTGTAGATGGCAGCAGATATAATGTTTAGTTGTTGTTTGTTGTGTCGCATATCGGACCGCTGGGCCGTGCGCCTCCCACAGCATCCGAGCTGGACCTGGACGCACTCACACATACACTCAGCTTTCCCGTCGTCGTCGTCCCGAACCTGTCGCTGCCGCTACGCTCCGCCACGCCATGCCACGCCCCGCCACGCCCCGGCTGTGCCCAGGTGACCGGCGCGCGGCCGGGCGGCGCGGGGGCCCCATAGGCCCCACTCCTCTCCCTGATGACATGCAGGCCTCGTTGTCCCAGCGGGAAGCGCCGCTGATGGCGCGACGTGGGGCCCTATACGACCACGTGCCCCGAGCGGGGCCGGCGGGGCCCGCAGCGTGGTGCACTGCCAGGGGAAAAAAAAGAAAACCTAAATCGACATTAGTCAAAACGACCAAAATAATAAAAAAAAATAACTCAAAATGGCGAAAAATACTAAGTCGATTGATGTGCTATATAAAGTTAGAAAAGACGGTCGTCTTTTGTTGAACGCGATGCGGACAGCCTCGGAGCTGGCCAGGCCGCGGTTTTATGGTAATGCTCTTTTCATGTAGCCCCGTTTGGTTACGGCCCGGGTCCCACAGCGACACTGACGCGCGAAGCAGACGCCGCCGTCGGAGAAGTCGACCCGACAGACTGGACACCTTCATTAGGTGGGGGCCTCCCATATAGGATCCCAACGCGCCCGCCCCGCGTATCTCTGGGATTTTTATTTATCCGCCCCCCCCCCTCCCTCTCCGCTCCTCTTCGAATCGAAAATTATGTACAAACCGTCATGTTATTTGTCTGCTTTGCGGTGTATGTACGTGTATACGCTGGCCGGGCCCTTTCCCCACGCCATAAGGGGCCGGTGACGTGCGCGGCCGCCATTACACCGGCTCGTGTACAAATCAATTACACGAACCCCCGCGAAGCGCGGCCGGGGCCGGCCCAGCGAGGACCTCCCCACCTGGAGCCGGAGCCTGCCTTGGACTCCATCCGGCCGGACGCCGCCCTACCACCTGGACTACATACACACCACCTGGACTTGTAGTACCTGGCGTCCCACCTGGAGCCGCCAACCGCCGCCTGGAGAACCCTGAAGTATACATGGGATCATCGATTAGGAGTCTACCAGGACAGGGGGCCATCTCTGCTTGAGAACCTGGATTGGACAGACCATATGAGGTGAACTCCACCACGATTTAGCTTAGCTTCAACTTAGACTCCGCCTGGGCCTGGGGTTGTACACCTGGACCTGGAGTCGTACACCTGGACCTACCTGGACCTGGAGTCGTACACCTGGACCTACCTGGACCTGGAGTCGTACCGGGTGATTCATAGAAGATGCAGGTGAGAGCGGGTTTGCCTACCCGCTCTGCGCGTAAGGCGCCATAGCCCCTTGGGTAGGCAAACCCGCCCGCACCTGCGTCTTCTCTGAATCACCCAGTACACCTAGACCTGGAGTCGTACATCTGGACTTGGAGTCGTACACTTGGACTTTGAGTCGTACACCTAGACCTGGGGTCGTACACCTGGACCTGGAGTACACCTGGAGAAGTCGTGGCAGAGGGGCGGCCGGCCGCCGTCACGGTCCGATGGTTTCAGCCCCACGATGCATCGTCTCGCGGGGCAGCTGCGTCGGATGCCGGCCGGAGCCCAGCCTACAGATGGAAAACTATTTGTATTTGTTTCAAGTTTATAAATGGGGCGGGTAATCGACAGGTACCCGCGCAGCCGTTTGTACGACACGGTGACACGATGGAGTGATGGCGACGCGTTTGTCACCGAACACCTCTAGTTTTATGCCGGCTTTGCGGCTGTCACTCCAAAGTGTGTGTTCCGACGTACCCACTCTCTCGCCAGCTTAGCTCTGTGATTCATAGCCGCATCTGTGTGTGTGTGTGTGTGTGTGTGTGTGTCAGTGAAAGGGCTACACGCCTCATTATCCGCAGGTAATGATTTATTCCAGGCGTTGTTATTTGCAGGGCGGCCTTTTGTTTCCTTGTATGATGCTGCTGTTGCCGCTTGTTGTTTGCTGCTGCTGCTGCTGCTGCTGCTGCTGCTGCTGCTCGTTGCTTGCTCTTATTTCCGCCCGTGGTGTGTTCTTGCTGCTGCGAGGAGGAAGCAATAACAAGCCAAAGGGCGACAAGGATATCCCTCCGCGACGCGGGTATGGGAAATTTAGAGCAGCAGGGTCAGCTGGCAAAAGGGTGGCCGTACACAGCAGTATAAGGGACACGCAGTGCGCCGCCGGGATGATGAGAAATCCTAAAGGGCCGGACGGCCTGATAAGAAAACACGACGACGGTCGGTTGGGTCAATCTAATAAGAAGGGGCCGGGGCCTGCTGCAGCCACCGTATGGTCGCGTACAGGGGAAACCTTTTGATGGCCGGTTGCTATGCCGCTGCTGCTGCTGGGGCGCGCCGGTCGGGCGGCCGGGTTAGTGTTGTCACCCGAGTCGGCCTATTAATTAAGATTAAGAAGGATTACATGCTCAGCCGGTACCTGTTCAGTCCTGCTCGCCGGCGGCAGCAGCAGCAGGTGCAGCCGAGCGGTGACCCGCCGCGGTGAGCAGCGCCCTGGGCCTGTGGGACTCCGCAGCGGGTGACTCAGCCACCCGACTGATAACACGTATGCTCCTCGTTATCAGGGCAGGTTGAGTAACAAACGCGCGACGCGCGCCGCAGCGAGCCGCGGCGGCCTGCACATGCACACACTACTTGCGGGTCCAGTGGAAAATCCAGGCGCCTTCTCCAGGGGAGGCGTCCTCCAGGCCGATCACAGGGAAAGGTCGCGGGGTGGCGCCAGGCGCCCTTGTGTCCCCCTGGCGTTCAGGTCTCTGCCTGAGCCGCGACAAGCTCCTGATTTATCACCGCCGTCACTCCGGCCTGGCTACCGCCGTTTTTTATGGTTTTCCCCCACCTCTCCGAAATACTAATGTTGAAAATGTCTGTGTGTTTATATGGCTGTGTGTTTGTGTGTTCTTTTCTTTGCGCCAGCTCGACAAGCTTGTAACACCTCGTATGCGCGAGTTGTTTTCGGTCCTCCTGTGTCAGAACGAGGAAAAAGGATTGCCCTCGCGTTTGTCTATGCTATCTCGTCCTGGAAGTTTTTATTTTTTTCTGTTTTGTTTTTTCACGTATTTTGCCAAAGATCGCCGCGACTGAAATCTAGTTTCTGACATCCTCCGGTCCATCGGACGCATCGCTGCTGCTCCACGACTGGGCGGCCCCGTCCGTCGCGGGCAAACCGCCGCTGCAGTCGAAGTAGTATTTTATCGTCGGGATCCTGGACTATAAGCCTCTGTCTGCGTCTCCCCCTTGCGCAACACAATGCTCGGGCCCGGTAAGGAGGTGCACCCGGGCGGCGGGGGAGGCGTGGTGCGGCCGGAACAAGGACAGCTTGTCAGCCTCATCAGGATCGTAAAGCCCTCCGCCCTACCGGGGGCGTGGCGTGGCGGGGCGCGGCCAGGTGGCCGGCAGGACCAATAAGGCACGCGGCCAAACGACGCACATTTTTGCCATTCGGCGCGGCACTATGCGCCGTCGCAGGTCTGGTTTGGCCTCCACGAAACTACAGAGGAAAGAGGTTCATTCAATTTGAGCGGCGGTGGCGGCGGCGGTGTCCCTCCTGGGACCACAAGGGAGTGGTAAAGGGTCATTGAATGGGAGAGCGCCGTCCCTGGGAACGGGCGGGGGTGGCGGGGGCAGGGCAGGGGACGGTGATGAAGCTGTTGATCATATCGATAGGCGAGGGTGGGCCGGCCGGGTCTCGGGGGGCGGGCCTGAGGGGCGGGCAGGACCCGGCATACCGACCGGCCCTAGTGGCTATATTATTCCATTGGCCGGCCCAAGTGTTGATTTGATTCGTTAATTGGTCCCGTCATCGCCCGGTGTACCCGCTCAAAGCGCCCCGCCCGCCTGCCCGTCTATGCCGCAGGCGAGGAGGAAAATTGGTAGTATCGGTGGAGACAGGTGGAAGAGAGATCCAGAAGGTTTCACGTGTCTCGGGGAAGCCGTCGTCTCTTTTCCCCCATCTCCTTTTTAACCCGCCGCGCAATCAGAGAACGTCTGGGAACGTCCGTCGCCGGGATTGCAAAAAGGGGGGGGGGGCATGATGACGATACGTCATCTTAGATTAGTGTGGGTGCGAGCCTCGGACGCGTGCGGAGTGATGGAGAGCTAAGCAAAGTCTTCGCTTATCAAAGCTCAATCGCTGTAGAGGGAGGGACTAGCGATGGTGTGACCAGTTAGTTCAAACAGCTAAACCCCGCGCCGGTGCTATTTTTCGATTGTGTCTGAACGGTAATCGGCGCGGCAGGCAGGGGGGATTAAGTAAGTGATTTCGTTCCTATCGGTCGCGAGAGAGCGCTCCTACTACGATAACAGCGATGTGGGTGTCGGGCGTTTGACAGAGACGCATTGGGCTCTGCAAAGTAGATTCCGAAGAAGATCGTTCGTTCCCATGTGAGTCGTGCCAAAGAAAGGGAAACCACCACTCTTATAAAAATCAGTTATATTTTTATTGTTTTAAAAATAAAATAAATATGAGAGAGACGAGCTCGTGGGCTTTGGCTCAGGTTGATACATATTGCTACATGTTACCACATAATTGCACGTGTTTTACATGTGTTCTTTTTTGGCGTGTTCGTAACATGAGTAAGAATTTTTTGAAGTCACGTATATAGATGTTTTTCTCCGTTTTCAGTGCTAGGAACATAAGTTATATTTGGTAGATTGGCTTCGCCTATTGGCCCCAGACGATGAGGAGGTAGCTGATCTTCTCCCCGCGCTTGCTGTCGAACCTGAGGCTGGCGCTGCGCTGCCCCACGCCGCCACTCAGAAGGGTGACGGCCGCGTTCTTGCCGGTCCGCAGCTGGTCCACGACCTGGATGCAGTGGATGGTGGCGTACGGGGAGCTGATGCTCACCGTCTCGGTGTTGACCCGCAAGTAGGTTGCCGCCTTGTACACCGTCTTTGATGCGAGTTGCCTGAAAAAAACCACAAGAAAAGCGCATTTTAATTCACGTCATGTTCGTCAAAAGTGTACCGGTCGTTGTCTTATCTAGACAGGCGTGGCTGCAAGGACGACAGAGCGGCAGTATGCTGTTAGTAACTGTGCGCTCAGAAAACAACTTCTACAGTTTTCTCATCGCATTTCGCTTAATTACAAGTTTGGTAACAAGTATTTGAGTATGGGTGACCTCATTCACGACTTTTCTTGGCAAACATCAGATTCTGACGTTCTATTTAATACAACATCTTGAAAGACTTCATTCAATACCCTGCCTTACTCACTTGTCATAAGGGTACACGCCTCCCCAGGTGATGCTCTGGTCGTGAGACCTGGATGTTGTTGTAGAGGGCCTCCTCGTAGTCGGCCTCCTCGTGGTGTACCTCGGCGTGGTCGTCCTGTACCTAGGGGTGCTCGACGCGCCCCATCCCAGGAGGGCCTTTGGAGGGAAGGCGACCAAGTTCTCGGCCAGCTCGACCTGGGGCTCCACCTCGGCGAGCTCGGCGTCCACGGTGACCTCGGCTGAGATGTCATTGCTCTCCGCGATCCTGGCCGCGGACGACGTCGTCCAGGACGCCGCCGCGAGGCACAGCAGGACGACGAGGGTAGCGGAGCGAGCCATCTTTGTCGCTGGTTCGGCGTGGAATGAGCCGCTCACCTAGCTGCCCAACTTTTATCGCAGGCTCGGGGGCTATCGGGCCCTGAGTGACGGCGGCGGCAAGGTGGTGTGACGTCACGACCGCCTCGGTATACGTCATCATGGGATATGATGGTATGACAAGGGTCCTGCCATTTACCGAGAACCGACATGATCTGCATACAGCAAGTTTCTTGGCTGATAACGAGAGATGAGTGTTTTTTTCCGGAGAGAGTACGACGGGTAGTTAAGGGCGATGGTTTCAGTTTCCTCCATGGTTCCTCCCGGTGCCATTATGAAGTGTTATTGGCACTGGCAGTGCCAGCCATATTTGTGTGCCGAGAAAGAGGATAGACGAGTCTTTTTTTTTTTTCAAAACACCAGCTCCACACTTGCCATGTTACGGAATTGTCCATACATTTGAATTCACTAACGCCCCCAACGATCCCCGGTAACATAATGGAACTGTCGACCGACAGTCAACAATTTTTTCGAGAATAAGAGACCAATGGTTTGGGAAAACGACGCCACTCGCATAGCCAGGTGACGGTAATGAAATCAGTTATTTGAAATTTGGAAATTTGAAACTAGATATCACACTTTTCCCCGAAGGTGCTTCAAACATATATTTGTCATGTGGTTCTACCAACCCAGGACAACCTGGAAAGTCATGGGGAAAAGAAAGGACAAAACAGTTTGCTCGATCATCTTGTTTTTCCTGACATTTCGTCGGAGCTGAAATAGGGTGCGATCCGCGGTGATTCAAAACGAACTGACTCAGTATCTAATCTCTAGATGCACGGAAAACCCCCCAGACTTAAGAGATGGGCTGTTACTAGCTGTCGTAATGAGGGTTTTTAAAATGTAATTTTCATCCTTTTCGGGTTCGATAGACTGGAATTGGCCCCAATAGATCTTCAGATCAAGCCTGCTTAACTTGAACGGCGTCATTAAATTTTGGAGGGGAGTTTCTCATGCCACACCCTAAAACCTACCCCAGATGGAAACTTCGGATCGGAACAATCGTTCATGCAGTGTTTGGAGCAAGTGCTCAGCCAGAAATCCAATGTGGAAATTTGGTCGACCGACGCGAAATCGACGTTGATTCAATGGGACTTCGTAACCCAAATAGACGAAGTTTCGATTTCGACGTCGATTCGAAACTCCATTTTGGCTTAGGTGCTGCAACCGGCTTGTTCGAGATTCCGTGTGCCTCTAGTACCAAATCCCTTCATACATAATACTACCTGCTGGGTACGTGTACACGGCAGGTATGACAGCACACGGGAGTAGGGGCACAAGGTTTATTGGAGCCATGCACAGGGCACACAAGTGGTAAACACAAGAAAAAGCCCTTCACAATTTTGCCCGGGATAAAAACGAGAAAAACCCTTGAGTTTAATATTCAGTCGTCGCTTGACAGCTTGTAAAGGCATGACAAGTCATTACCACCCCAAGAAATGTGTTGATTTGGTTGATTGCTATGTTGCATTCCATTTCCACATCAGCCAGATTTTTTCCTGTCTGTGGGCTGAATTGTGTATCTGTCTGTTTGTTAAAAGTTTTTCAATTGAGTAAGTAAGTACACTCCGTTGTGTGCATTAAACCTTTTTTGAGGTCCATTCATTGTGTTCAGGGCTTTAAGGAACTGATGAAGAACATGCATGTACTGCCTTTGTAAGGATTTATTCTATTCGCTTTTCACACTCGTTATCCAAAACTTATCAAGATCAAATAATACCGGAAAATCACAGCCTTAAGTCCGTTCTTGTCATTTAGACGCTCTACTGGCCCCAGAGGATGACGAGGTAGTTGATCTTTCCTCCGCGTTCGCTCTTGAACTTGAGCTCGGCGTTGTACTGGTTGATGCCGCCCTTCTGCAGGGTGACGGCCGCGTTCTTGCCGTTCTTGAGCAGGTCCACGACCTGGATGCAGTGGATGAGGGCGCCGCTCGAGAACTTGACGACTTCCTTGTGCACCGTGAAGATCGTCGAGGAAACGTACACCGTCTTGCTCGTGAGTTGCCTGAGAGAAGAGGGCCGGGTAAAGAATGAATGAGCGATTTGCATGCGACGGCTAAGTGACAGCCGAGAGAGAGAGAGGGGGGGGGGG